GCCAGGCACCTAGCAGGAGTGGGCAAGTTAGTATAGGGCAATAGAAAGTGGCAGAGTCTGGGCTGGGGATGTGGCTCAAGCGGTAGCACGCTCGAGGGTTCGATCCTCAGGACCACACACAAACAAAGATGTTGTGTCCGCCGAAAACTAAAAATAAATAAATAAATCTCTCTCTCTTTAAAAAAAAAACCTAAATACCACAGGTGGGGTGATTTATAAAGAACACAGGTTTATGAAACCCATGGTTCTGAAAACTGAGAAGGGCAAGATCAAGAGGCTGCTTGTGGCAAGGGCCTTCTTGCTCTTCCCTAGGAGACTCCTCTCTCCCCTGGGCTTGGCATGTCTTCTTCCTGGTCCATCTACCCTCCAACTAGCAGGTGTAGTGTTGGGGGTGGGGGAGGTTGTACTGGGAAATAGAGACCCAGTCCCACAAGATGGGTTTCATCACCAACTACATAATCTCTGGAGTCCCACCTGGTAGAGGAGGACCATGGGGGGCACAGGGACTGCTTGTACCATTTTTTTCCCAGCAGGGTGAGGAATTCGTTTCCTGTGCTGCTGTAACAAATTACCACAAACTGGGTAGCTTGAAACACCAGGAAGTTATTGTCTCTCAGTTCTGGAGGCTAGAAGTCTGAAGTCAAAGAACCGCAGAGCCAAGCTCCCTCCAGAGGCTCCAGGGGAGGGCCTTCCTTCTTCCTCAGTTGTTGGTGGCCTCATGTGTCCCTTGGTTGGGGCCACATCACTCCAGTTGGCCTCATCTTCACATGGTGTCTCCTCTGTGTGTCTTACAGGGACACCTGCTGTTGGAAGTGGGGCCCACGGACCTTGTCTTGAGATCTGTCACTTGCTCACATCTGCAAAGACTCATTCAAACATCCATGGTTGTGAGGATTAGGATCTGATATCTATCTCTTTCGGGGGAGACACTGTCCATTCAATCCAGGACAGGCATTGCAGCATCCTTTTCTACCCTTAAAATGTAAAACAGAGATGGCAGGCTGGGGTGGTGGCTCAGTGGCAGGGCGCTTTCCTAGCACATGTGAGGCACTGGGTTCGATCCTCAGCACCACATAAAAATAAATAAATAAGTAAAAGTCATCATGTCCCTCTACAACACATATATATAAAAGTTGGTGAGGTGGTGCAGCCTGCAATCCCAGCTCCTTGGGAGACTAAGGCAGGAGGATCGTAAATTCATGGGCAACTTATCAATACCTTGTCTCAAAATAAAAATATAGAAAGGGCCAAGCATATAGCTCAGTTGTAGAACACGCCTGGGTCCAATCCCTGATACTGGGAGGTAAAGAGAAGTAAAAGAAAAAAAAAAATCTAAAACAGAATAGAAGTATGCCCAGACCTGCGGGAGGAATTCTAGAAGAACCAGGAAGGCTGCCTGTTTCTCTGGACAGTATATTTATGGAATTAAAATTTCTCTCCCAGCATGGGTGGGGGAAAAAACAGGACTAGCGGCTTTCATCTAAGCATGGATCACACAGAATCCAGGATGTCGTCGATGGTGGAGTTGGAGATGCCACACACAGAGGGGCGCAGCGCAGGCTTCTGCCCTCGGGACTCATGGTTGAGGGGACACCTCGTCCACCACCACCACAAGAAGGGATTTACATTATAGTTCTGTAGCCTGGGATCATTTCAGGCAGCTAATCAAGGATGACAGACTGGAGGGAGAATTGATGCAGACCAAGGAATGTTGTGACTAAGTGTCTAGGATTTTGATTTGGATTGATATGTTGACTATTGCCATGGGTCATAGGGAAGCAAAAAAAAAAAAAACCCAGGAAATCAAAAAACCAAGTATCTGCTTGTTTGGTCTCTGTATCTAGCCTGATGATAGCAGAGTCAGAAATTAGACAAAAATGATAGTCGGGGAGGGTCCGAGATAATAAGGTCTCAGCAATTTCTGTAATTTGATTCTTAAAATATGCCGGATAAACTGGCTTCATTTTATCCAGCTTGACATGGTTACAAATAGTTTTTTGGAGTGTTGTAAGAAATAAGAGGAAGTAAAGTATAAGATCAGAAAAAAGAAAAGCTCAGGTCGTATTCCCATGGTGCTTTACAGGCACTGCTACGCATGGATTTTTTTTTTTTTTTTTTTTTTGGTTTTTTTTGTACTGAAGAGTGAACCCAGAGGCACTTACTCACTGAGCCACATCCCCAGCCCTTTTTTGTATTTTATTTAGAGACAGGATCTCGCTAAGTTGCTTAGGGCCTCACTAAGTTACTGAGGCTGGCTTTGAACTCGCGATCCTCCTGCTTCAGCCTCCTGAGCCACAGGGGTTACAGGTGTGCACCACTGCGACCGGTTTAGGCATAGATTTTAAAGTCCAGGAGACCAGCAAGCATTTCTGTTAAAGAAAGAAACCCTGATGCCTGGGACTCCAGTTTGCTTAGGTGGCATCTCTTGGTTATATGGGAGCCATCAATAAGTTGGCTCCCCCAGAGATGGCTAAGAGAACCTTCTGATTCTTCCTCCCACAGTCCCATGTGTCCTCAGACTGTCAGCTGCAGTTTGTGGTAATGGAGTAAACAAGGCAAATAAGAGCTGGACGTAGAAACCTTGGGGATTTTTGTTGGTTCATTTGGGGTTATTATTGCTTAAAAAGCAAGCCCCCCGAGGAGAAGCGCTACAAAGCTTCTCTCAATCCTGCCTCTGTCTACACTCGTCAGCACTGATTTTGCCCCTGCCGTGTTGATTCTGGACAGAAAGAGTAGGTCTCTACACCGTCCCAGAGGGAGCTGCCTCTCTAAGGGGGTGGGATGGCTGTTACACAGCAGGATTGTCCCATGTGTCCTAAGGATGTGGCCCTGACAGATGTGGCCCTGTATTTCTAAAACCCTCACCTCCTTCTTGTTGAAAATCTAGCAAATGAAGAAAAGCTGAAATGAGGAAAATGCAAATTACCTGTGGTTTTACCAGTCAGAGAACAAGTGAGCAAATGAACTGTGGCATGTTGCCGTGTCCGCCACGGCAGAAATCTTCACACAGAGGGCCTCATCCTCCCAACAACCATATGACGTAGGGCTAGGGTTATCCTTCTTTTATAAACGAGGAAACTGAGTCACAAGAGGGTCAGTAGCTGGTCCAAGATCACTGTTGGTGCGTGTGCAAATGCATGTGAGCTCATTCTTTCATGATCAGGGTTCTGCTCTGGGCACTCCTGAATCTCGTCTTAACGCTATGTCATCTGCATTTCACAAATTCTTATGAATCGCTGTTTCAGTGGCTGCATAGTACTCCATAACTTATTTACCCTTTCCCTCATTGTCGGGCAGGTAAATCTCCCTGAAACGTTCTTCTTCCGTTTTAAGCAAATCGAATCTCTTTGTACATTAGTCTGTGTTTACATTGCTCATAATTTATTTCCATTGGATCAATTCTTGGAAGTAGAAACCTGGAAGGGGATGAGCCACCACATTGCTTTCCCAAAGGATCAGGATGACTCCCCTTCCATCAGCACACGGAACACCTTCTCCAGAGATTAGCCAGATTGCCTGTTGCTATTTCTTTCTTTTTTTTTTTTTCCCTTAGATAAACTCATATTTTTAACCGTTTCCATGGTTTTTAGTGAGTGCTGTGCTGCTATCACCTTTTTCTAATTCTGAAATATTTTCAAGGTCTCCAGAAGCAGCCCAGTCCTGTTACCGTTCTTTCCTAATACCCCTCCCCCTTCAGCCCCTGGTATCTGCAAATCTGCTCTCTGTCTCTGTGGACTTGCCTCTTCTGGACACTAGGGATAGAGGGAGCCCTACACTGTGCTGATTTGATGGATGGGCTCTCTATGAGTCAGTTCAGTGAGTTGAACACATGTTCATTACTTTGCCCATTTGTGTTTCTTCTTTGGTGAATTGTTTGTTAATGTCTTTCCCTTGTATTGCTTTCGGGGTCTTAGTGTTATTAATTGGTAGTAACTCTTTATATATTAAGGTTAATAACTCCTTGACTATCATATTTGTAGCATTTTTTCCTTCTGCACCAAATATTTTGATGTGGGTGTTAAAGTGGAAAGAAAGCACAAATGGCAGGGAGAGCCTGGGGAATGTCTGGGTGGGGATGAAAGGGGGCTTTGTCTTGTTGGTACAACTACAGCTGAATTTGTGTTGTATGAGTCTGCAGGTGGTGCTGATAGCCAGTACAGTCACAGACTTAGCCCCTTTGGTCTCTTCCCCAGATCTCTGCTCAGGCAGCTGCTAGTTGGGGGTCTGGTGCTAGGCCTACCTTGAGAAACAGGAATGTTCTGGAGCTGGGGGTGGTCAGCTCTTTCCATTCCCCACACACAGCTTCTGGCGCTTGCCCCCCCCCCCCCAGGCCTCCTCCATGGGCCTCCTTGAGAGCTGTAAGGGAGAGTCACAGTTTGTGGGTCCACTGAGGCTTTGGGTGAGCTGCTCAGCACTGAGGTTTGCACCCATGCATAGAAGATGGGCCCACAGGCCCAATTTTCAGGAACTATGTCACCAAGCAGAGGACTTTGCTACCCGAGCAACACAGGAAATGAATTGGCCCCAAGAAAATGGGTAATTGGGAAGAAAATTTTAATGGCAACAGAGTAGCAAGCGATTTTGCTGTGAATACACAGTGTCTGGGTATCAGCAACATTTGATTCCTAGCCCAGTGCCCTGCAGTTACTTTATTTTGTTTAAATAACTACATCACTCACCCCCTCTGCCATTAAAGATTGGGGGGATTAAGACATAACTGGCATGTTGGATTCTAAAAAAGCAGATGGATGTTTCTGCCCTGCCAGGTACCGAGTTGCCAGGGGGCTGTTCCCTGCAGTGGAGCAGTTCTGTTCACTCGGAGGTCTTAGTGGACTCCTTGAGGTTGCAGGCAGCATCTGGGTGTGAGTGCGTGTGTAAGCGTGCCTGACTCTTCCATCAAGTTCAGAGGGGTCCTTGGCCCCAAGGCCCAGGATGCAGGTCCTTGGTGGGGTGGCATCCCAGAGTGGGGCCCGTGGACTCATGTCACCCTGTGCTTGCAGTGCTGGTGAAGGGCCAGGTGACCACCAAGTACTACCGGCTGCTGTCCAAGCTGGGCGGCTGGGTGTGGGTGCAGAGCTACGCCACCGTCGTGCACAACAGCCGCTCGTCCCGGCCCCACTGCATCGTGAGTGTCAATTATGTCCTCACGTAAGTCAGCCCTATTGTTCCTCCCCTTGCTCCTCCTCCTGCCACTCATTGCATCGCTCCAAAAGTGTCACCTAACTCTCTGTCTCTTTCCAAAACCATTCATTTGTCTCCCGTTTTGTTTTTATTTGAACAAAATAAGAGTCCAGTTTGGGGGGAGGGTCCAGATTTTCCCACGCTCAGCAGAGAGGAGTGAGTGCTGGGGGGGCCTCAGATCCCAGCACAGAGCCCGGGGGGGGGGGGGGTGGGGGAAGCCCCCACCTTGAACAGGGTACAAAGAAGTGCACATCTGGATCAGGAATACAAGCTCACATAATCCATGTCCACAAACCATCTTGAATGCTTCTGCGATTTGGGACAGAGGAAATCTCTCATTTCCCATCATCTATCCATATAGCCTGTTGCAAATGACAGAGAATACTGAAAACTCCCGAAGGTCGAGTTCAGTTGCAAATACATTTAAGGCCATTGGAAGCAACTGAACATGAGTCACTCTGCCCACCAAAGCTATTGTGTATTAAACCACCTTGACCCCAGGCTTAGTCCTGTACTCGATGTCCTCATGGTCCCCCAGCACCCCGGAAAAGAGTCCTCATTTGTGTTCTAAATGCAGTGGTGGGGCCAGGGGTGCAGAGCACTTGCTTAGCCTGCACAAAGCCCTGGGTTTGATCTCAAAAAATGGAAGGAAAAAAAAAAAGGTTCCAGGTTCTGCACAGAGCGACTGCTGGGTTTCTGTGTGTTAGCTGCACAGTGGTCCCGGCAAAACTGTAAGGGAGAAATGATTCCGCCCTTAGTTATTATTCTCGAGCACCGAGGTGTTGGCTGGACTTGGGGGGCCGCCTCTCCTTCCAGGAACACAATGCTGAGCTGGCTACCAGGATGCTGATGCTGTCAGGAGCCCCTGGTGTGAAAGCCGACAAGGCCAACTCCAGGCTCCCAGCCCTTACAGGGCCCCTCACTCCCGCTTCCCGGGTGCTCAACAGGAATCAGCCGGGTCACAGATGTGCACCAGGGATGAGATGATGTGATCAGTGGCACTTTAGCCCTCCCTTTTGCCTTGACAGCCGTAGTGGCCCACGATGTCCCCAGGAATCGTGTTTGGGGCTGTATGGGATTGGAGAGGGCTGTTCTGACCTCCCCCGATTCCAGCCAAATAGCACTGATCTTGCCAGCATTCCTGGGTCACCATCTTGGGGCTTCAGGCAGCTTTTATAACAAGATTGAGCTGTCCTGTCCTCAAATGCCACCCACACTCAACCTCAGTGAGAGGATCTGAGGAATCTGGAGAAGGAACTTGCTCAGGGGACGGAGCCAGGGAAGCCACTCTTCCCCCACTGCTCCCCCACATGACAGGCCTGCTCTCGCTTTCCAGGGACGTCGAATACAAGGAACTTCAGCTGTCACTGGACCAGGTTTCCACTTCTAAGTCCCAGGACTCCTGGAGGACCACCTTGTCTACCTCACAAGAAACTAGGAAATTAGCTAAACCCAAAAACACAAAGATGAAGACAAAGCTGAGGACATACCCTTACCCCCCACAGGTAACCCTCACGTGGTACGGGATGCAGCTGACGTCTGTTCCAGGGGCTTGGGACACCCTGGGTATGCTAAGGAGTGACGGACCTCTGAACACGTAGCTGGATATCTCTATAGAATGAAGCGGGTCCCCAAGGATGTCCTGCCCATAGGGTGGTGACACAGCCTGGGGACAGCTGACATCCAGGTGGACTTGTCAAGAATAGGAACTAGAAGACCATTGGGAGGGCACATGAGCCTGTGAGACTCCATGTAAATAGGGGTTAGAACCACATCACATATGTCATGTTTTCATAATAATTTTTTTTAACATGAAACCCCTTATTTATTTTTTTAGTTCTAGGATGGAACTCAGGGGCACTATACCCCTGAGCTGCATCTCCAGCCCTTTTTATATTGAGACAGGGTCTCACTAAGTCTCTGAGGCTAGCCTCAAACTTGTGATCCTCCTGCTTCAGCCTCCGAAGCAGCTGGATTACAAGTGTGCTCCCTCCCCTCCCCCTTTTAAAGCACTTGGTGTTCTGTCATCTATAACAAGTGTCCGTGTGCATTTGGTATGTTTTTAGTTTGGGGTGGGGGTCTCTTTCCATCCAGGGGGTGGGTCACTGGGGTAGGCCCACCTTGGCATGGGGCAGGGACATAGCTTACCCACAGCCCCTTGGCTAGCCTCCATCCGTCTTCTTTCCATGCAGCAATACAACTCCTTCCAAATGGACAAACTGGAATGTGGCCAGCTGGGAAGCTGGAGAGCCAGTCCCCCCGTAAATGCCTCGGCTCCCCCAGAACAGCAGCTCCATTCAGAAGGCAGTGACCTTCTGTACACGCCGTCCTACAGCCTGCCCTTCTCCTACCATTACGGACACTTCCCTCTGGACTCGCATGTCTTCAGCAGTAAAAAGCCAATGTTGCCAGCCAAGTTCGGGCAGCCCCAGGGATCCCCGTGTGAGGTGGCACGCTTTCTCCTGAGCACGCTGCCAGCCAGCGGCGAATGCCAGTGGCATTATGCCAACCCCCTAGTGCCTAGCAACCCGTCTCCAGCTAAGAACCTTTCTGAACCGCCCACGAACGCTGCCCGGCACAGCCTCGTGCCAAACTATGAAGGTGGGTCCTGTTGGCAGGCGGGGACACCGCCTGGGGGCTGTGGCGGTAGGTGGTGGTGGTGGGGGCAGACAGAAACGGAGTCCTCAGGATTTGGGTGAACCTTGCCCTTCTCTGCTCCTAAGTACAGCTTCCCTGCTCTCCTGTGCTTCACAAGAGAGAAAGTCCCCTGTGCCTCGTGCACACCAGTGGCACTATAAAGGGGACAGGGACGCTGAGCATTCAGACTCCATATAAATTCGGCATCCTCCTCTCCACAGGGAGACCTGTGATTTCCAAACCCCCTCCCAGGTTTTGAGAACCCCCAGGTCCAGTTAATTTATTTATTACTTATTCTTGTTTGGGCTGGGCTGGGGATCGATAGGTCTGTTGTTTTACACGATTACTTTTCACTTTACCCCAAAATGATCTTGAGAGACAAAGAGGCTTCCAATTTCCTTCTCATGCTGCTTTCAAAGTGCAGAAAAAGAGTAGTGATGATCCATGGGCTCAGGGACAAAAGTGCCACTCACCAGATCTAGAACAAATAACAAACTCTCCAGGTCTCAGTCTCTTCATCAGTCAGATGGGATCATAAGCCATGTGATGTGTCTGCCTTGACTTGCCAGTTCAAACCACAACAAAGATCAGAGTGGCTTTCTAAGCCTTCTCCCCCTGGTGGCAGGTAAGCAGTCCTTAGTGGAGTGCCACCAGTTGCTCAGGACACCGGCCAACTCCTTTGACTTATTGGACCAACCCCAAGAAGAGGGTGGAAGGTGGGGACTGAGGGTTAGCTGCAGGAGATGTATACCTGATCCACCCAGACCTGACTGAGGCTCAGACTACAGACCAAGATGGTGTGAATGTCCTGCGGCTGTTACTAGGATAGCGGTAAATGTAGATGATGTGCCCAGGAGGCTGAGATAGATTCATACAAACCTGAGATTTCATGGGAGGAATCTAACCTTCTTGATGATCATGAGGAAATGTTTTCCAAAAGTAGACAATTTAAAAAGGACCACATCAGCCATCAGGGCCTGCCATCCTGTCTTGGGCCTGGGCCTGTCCTAAGAGCCAGGTATTCCTCAGATTTGTATTCCCAGTACCCCCTGGTCACTGGGTCCTTCACAAAGCCAAGAAAGGGATCATTCTGAACGGCCAAGGGAAGAAAAACAAAGTGAAGGGTTTCGACAATAGTTGACGATATTACTCACTTGAGATGGACTTAAAAATAATTGTTTTTTCTTTGGGGGTTGGTATTGATATGATACACAGAATTTGATTTTTATTTGATATTTTAAAAGTGAAGGAGGTTAATAACTACCTGCATATCATAAGCTTGGTGGGAGGGGGGGACACCAAAGATGTTAATTTGAGGCAATTTGTGATCAACTTCCTAATCATTTGAGTATTAAAGGAAGACAAAGGTCCTCATAAAGTAAAAAGCCCAGGTTGCTAATTGATGTCAGGCATGTAATTGAGAAGGCTGGTTTAATTATGATCCTCTCAGCAGGGCAGGGCAATTAACAGCCCCTCTCCAGGGATAAGCAAAAACCAGGGTAGACTGGAGGGCCTTGGTAGCCTCTAGACCCCTGTTGTTCAATAAGGTGGCATTAGCCGGCAAGGCCATCCTCGGACATGGAAAAGCGGCCAGTGCTGTGGAAGGGGTCCACTGGCTTTCAAGAAAGTACCCTCTTCCCCACCAAAGAATAAACAGTTTTTAATACTGATCACCATCGACGTACCCTGGTATGCAGCATTAGGTACATTAGTCCTCACGAATTCCACCTGTTTTTGGCTCGCAGGACATTTGCAATTGTCCCTTGTGGTTGCCCAATGCGGGCCTGGAATGCACGCGAGAAGGACGGTGGCAGCCCGAGGGTTGGGCGCGGGTGACCGAGGGGTGGCGTTGCTTGGGGCAGGCCCTTCCCTCCCTGGATGCCAGCATCTAACGTATCGCCTGTCTCCGCAGCGCCCGCCGCCGCCGCCGCGCGCAGGTTCGGCGAGGACACCGCGCCCCCGCCGCCGCCGCCGAGCTTCCCGAGCTGCGGCCACTACCGGGAGGAGCCCGCGCTGGGCCCGGCCAAGGCCGCCCGCCAGGCCGCCCGCGACGGGACGCGGCTGGCGCTGGCCCGCGCGGCGCCCGAGTGCTGCGCGCCGCCGGCCCCCGAGCCCCCGGGCGCGCCCGCGCAGCTGCCCTTCGTGCTGCTCAAC